ACACACACACACAAACATTAAATTAAAAAAACAATGAATATAAAACATTAATATTAACATTTATAAACATTAATAAATTATTTATAATAATTAATGTACAATACAAACGTTTATGTACAAAAATAATGTATTTACAAACTAAAAATAAAAGTTAAAATAAGGTAATTATAAAGGAAACGTCGGTATGACAGCTTCTTTACATGCATTTTGACTGCTCCCAGCACCCGTACCGTAAGTGCACAATTACACGCGCAAGCTAAAAAAAAGTGCGGCTGAGTTGACCGTGCATTTTCAAAGCGCGGCTGGCTTGACCGCAGTGTTTTTTTCCTGGGGAAGGATGAAGGAACCACCAGACAAAACAGTTATGTGTGAAATGTGAAAGGCACTTATTTTAACATCACTTAATTTGTCATTGTAACATTGTAACATATAAAGTTCATATCCATGTGGCTCATGTGAAGAACAGCCTGTTTAGTTTTGTGTGAGAGCGCGAGAACTTGGAGAGGCGAGTGGGGGTCAAAACAATCCGTCCCCATGGCAACTAGCTCAACCTTCTGCCAGAGAGAGAGAGAGAGAGAGAGAGTTCTCAAGTAAGTAGGGAGGGATTTACCCCGCTTGAACGGACATGCCTGGAAGTTTAGGGAAAAGTTCCAGGTATTACCGGCAAATCAATGAGTTTTTGCAATCGCTACGAGTGAATGTGAGACGCTGAACAAAATGGCACGAACAGCGGGACATTTCGTTCAGGTAAAACTTTTATCTCATTCTAGCGTGGTTACATCGTATAAAAGTGAGCACAGTCAATCGCAAACAAAGGCTGTGTGTCAAAACCTAGTGCGCTTCTTTGCTGAAAAGCATTTTTGAGCATAATTCGCAACGCGCGTGATTCCTCAAAATGCTCAAGAACATGATGTCCAAATATCTAGTCTAGTTAGCCAGCACACTAGGGTTTGAGCCACAGCCAAAGTGAATAGAAGATGTTTTAAATGTAAATGTGGGTCAGAACTAAACTGTTTAACTGTAACGTCATATGTGTTTACCTTATTTGGTAATTTCCCAACTCATGTGAATGTTGCCTGTTTACTCAATCGTGTAATAGGCTGACGTTTTTTCGTTTTAATTTATTTGAGGAACAGTTTGGTGTCCCAAGGTCAAGGTTTATATCTTTCTCTGATAGAGCACACAAAGTTTATGGATTAGTTTAGTGGCCAAATGTTGCTGGGTATTCTTATAGCTCAAACAATAGAGCACCAAGGTCATGGGTTAGATTCCCAGGGCATGATACATTGATTAAAAACAATACATTGAATGCAATGTAATCCACTTTGGATAAAAGCATCTGCCAAATGCATAAATGTAAATGTTGAATGAGCAAGGATTGACAACAGACAGGTTTTTCATTAAAGGCACATTTCAGTTGTTTCCACTAAAATCATGCTCTTATTTGAGCACACACACACACACACACACATGAAGGTTACATGATCACTGTTCAAGTATACAGTGCCCCCTGCTTTCAGTTTTGGCAACTACTGCAGCTGCAAGTTTTCTGAACTTTCTGAACAGACTGTCTATTGTGCTATTGGAACAATGACCCTTCCTTTTCATTGGTCTGGATTGTCAGCTCAATCATGGGAGCCACTCTGTTCTCTGTCCAGTGCTTGCGCAATATGGATCAGGGTGGGATGTCACCAAACCTTGAACAAAATAGACAGCCCTGCCATCATAATGTGTAACAAACCTTTTCACATTTAAGTTAAGCCCTAGTTGGTCCATAGCTTGTCATTCCACTGTGAATGCGATTTTATGAACACTGTGTCGGCTGAAATAACAGTGAGGCAAGACTCTTATTTCCACTGCATCTCATGTCAAACAGTGAAATACAATACATGTGCAGTTTTGTATTAATGCTTTTTTCTTCCCAGATTCTGTTTCTTGACTTGTTTTTTGTCGAGATGGAGAGCGGTTTTCCTTTGCACTTTCATTGTTTAATTTAGTAGCTTGATAATAGTAATTGTTATACTTTGTGATTGCATTTTTTTCTAAGAATGTTCCTGGAAGCGATTCATGCGTGAGAGCAAACATGAATTTAACAATCGAACTTGTAAAATCCTTTTCATTGTGGTGCACTGAATGGACATCATTGCCTTTAAGGGACTGTGCATCATGGTTTTTGTTCTGGCGCACCTGTAATTTTCATACACTTTAAAAAGGAAACAAGTTGAGACTTGCTTTAATAGCTAGATGACTGACCTTCAGATTACATGATGTGCTTCAAAATGTGTCATATCTAGGCCTTAATAAAACATTTTACTATCATCCCAGGTCTAGGGGATGATTTTATTTTAGCTGTCCTTGAATAACTTTTTCAGTCTAGGATGGGGAGTCATAAGGAACTTAGTCTAATGTTGTGTGTCACTGTTATTACACAGAAACAGCACCTGTCAATCTGACAAGGCTATAGGGATTATACAAGGTTTATGTGAGTCAGTGTTATTTTAATGGGAGAGAAGCTTTTTGTCTTGTTATTGTGTAACATCCTCCAAATCTCTGTGATACTCCATAAACTACCAAGCACAATAGACTGTGATGCAAGTCTGTTGCATCAGCACTTATAAGTCTGGTTTCCTTATATGACTCAAATGGCTGGGCGTTTAAAGGGGACATCAGATGAAACTTTTTTTAACCTTTTTTTTTTGCATTTAGTTCGAATTCTGGCGTGTCTGCCAGCTCAGAAAAGCTGAAAAGAAAACACGCAGCCAGTTTGTTATGCTCTGTTTCAGTCTTAAACTGTGTCATCCAGCGAGCTGTTTCAATTTGCAGTCAGTTTCTATGTATATAGCTAGCTATTTGAATAAGACCCCCTCCAAGCCATATACGGAAGAGAGGGGTGGGGTGAGGGGTAGCTCATTATCATTTAAAGAGATAGTTCACTCCAAAATTAAAATTCTGTCATTAATTACTCACCCTCATGTCGTTCTAAACCCGTAAGACCTTCGTTCATCTTTGGAACACTAATTAAGATATTTTTGATGAAATCCGAGAGGTTTCTGACCCTGCATAGACAGCATGCATGTGCAGGGTGTTGTTTTACACGACCATTGAGGAATTTTAACCAAAGTACGTTACAGAGATTTCATGAAGACCCCAAAGAATCATACAAACTTTTGGAAAATGGGCATTCGATGTCCCCTTTAAAGGAATAATTCAGTAAAAAATGAAAATTTTGTTGCTACACGTCACATCACGTGACTTCACTCTTTATAGTGACCATGTCTCTCAGGCTCTCCAGTAGTCCATACAACTACTACCGCTCAAAAGTTTCGAGTTGGTAAGATTTTTAAAATGTTTTTGATAGTCATTTGAAGTCTCTTATGTTCACAGGTTGCATTTTTTTAAATACAGTTTTTAAAAAATATTATCACAATTTAAAATAACCATTTTCTATTTTAATATATTTTAAAATGTTTATTCCTGCGATGGCAAAGCTGAATTTTCAGCAGCCATTACTGCAGTCTTCAGTGTCACATGATCCTTCAGAAATCATTCACATATGCTGATTTGGTGCTCAAAAAACATTTCTTGCTTTTATCAAATTTTGAAAACAGCTGCGCTGCTCAATATTTTTGTGGGAACTGTGATACTTTTTCAGTATTCTTTAATGAATAGGAAGTTCATAAGAACATAAACTTATTTGAAATAGATTTTTTTTTTACATTGTAAATATCTTTACTGTAGAGGTGAAATGGTATGAAAATTTCTTATCATGATTATAGTGACCACAATTATCACGGTTATCGGTATTATCGCGGTATTGTGTAAATGTGCTGGAAATGTTCTAAAAGTACTGACACATAAATCATTTCACAAAGTTTTATATTTAAAATCAACAAACAACAAATAAAATGACCTTTTGTTTGCATAAACTAAAACAATAACATTACCAGTGATGTACGGATTTTAAATGACAACATGACTGACAACAGTTTATCTAATAACATGTAGGGATGCAGCGATTAACCGGTTTCGTGATTAACCGCGCTTTAAAACGTCACGGTTAATTAACCGTAAAGGTTCCGCTAAACCGAGTGTTTGTGTTACACGGAACGGAACTGTTGCAGCTTGTGCAAAATGAAAGCAAAGTTACACTAGCGGTGCACCAGCTTAAAATGACGTGCTTATCAGAG